TTCGCTTCTCCCGGTGAATAATACAAGCAGTGAACCACCTCCCCATGAGTTAGCCCGCCGTATGTGGTCTGCATTCCTGCCTCACGAAGGCGACATTCGCGCACCACAAGTATGTACTACACATGATGAAGTTCTGACGCGGCACTCAGGACATCGTGCTGGACGGGTTCGGGTTCTCTCGTCTTCGGCTCGGCCGTATTCTTCTCTGCGCAGCTTCACATCTCCAGTCATTGATTCACTTCACGCCAGATACACTCTGGATCTGTTTCCTTCGGGGAGATCCATTATACATTCCCTGCAGCCAGGCGCGTAGTAAGTCAGTCATCATTTCCTCCCACCTTGCGATAACAACGGCCCTCATGAAATTCTTACTTCTGCCCCTACCTGATGGTGTGGAATTTCTATTATAATTTCCTGGCATATGCACTGTGGCCTCCTGTTGAATATATTCGGCCTTATCCCGAGCACACGGAGAATGCGCGGTACTACGTTGTACGCCGTTCATTCAATATCCAATCAAATGACAAACTCGTCAAAATGGCACCGCGACCTCCGAGACAGAAGAGTGGAAAGTCAAATCGTGTGTACACCATTTATGGACTACTTTATTGATAAATACTGAGGCTGTGTGACCTGCGGATCCACGAGAAAGCTCTGAGTGAAAAAAGATCCGAAGAAATGGCGTTCGAATAACCCGACCCCCGACTCGAACGGGGTTCACCTGCTGAATCGGAAACGTTTGGCCACAACGGGCAGAGGCGGCCGTCTAGATCGCCTTCGGGTCTACGGAAAACTATGTGTGTGAACGGTGATATACTCGGGCGTGTGAATTAATGTAATGAACAATCCAGGCCGAGTTGCATATATACTTACTGGTGCAAATGGGTTCGCGACGGATCCCGCCGGTTGGGCAACGGAAAACAGTAATTTGTGAGCAACCCTCAACGACATCGAGAGAAAATATTCACATAAAGATAAGTGCGGCAAATCCTCTTCCTCGCGAGACTCCCTGGTATCCATTCCGTCTGTCTCTGATTTTTACCCCCACCGTGACGCCATGTTACCTCACCGAACATCGTGTTCGCTTCCTACTATCTCTGCCGACTAATCGCCACCGGTATTAGGTGCCATGGACGCGAAGAAGTCCATGCTTCCTGTACACGTACTCTTATAAGTACCGTCCTACCACCGCTTCTCTCCCCCTCTCACCTTCCGCCCGCCCACAGCCCACCATGCTCCTTGCTAGGGTCCCTAAACTGTTCCAAAACCTCTACATTTTCACCTACGACTTCTTCCTCGCCCTCTTAAACCTCGTTGCCCCGAAGCGGCGCGTCGGGAGTGTCACGCCATATGGGAGCCCTGGCGCCGGGGGCAAGTGGCCTGAATTCATCCCACCGAAGGCAGGCGACAAACGGTCCCCGTGCCCCGCGCTCAACGCCCTGGCGAACCATGGTATGTTTTCAGCATCTCTCTGGTCCGCTTGTTCTCCAAAATTCATTACTGAATCCCCCAGGTATCCTCCCCCGTGGTCTGTGCCTCTTAGCGATCTATTCGCACCCCGAATATCTCGCCGATTGATGAATACGATCTTTAGACGGCCAAAACATCAAGTTCGCCGACTTGGACCATCACATCCGGGACACGTACAACTTCGCCCCGACATTCCCCACCTTCACTGCGCTCTTCGTCGCCCAGTATCTGAACAAAGACTACAACACGGTACGTCTACATCCCTCGTCTCACTGTACCTAACAATCGGGCTCAACACACCCTCGTTGGCTAGGATACGTGCGACCTCGCCGAAATCGGCCTACACAACGCGGGCATTGAGCACGATGCATCGCTCCTACGTGCGTGTTATACGTAACTAACTAGTTAATCTCGACTCATACATACACATACTCGGGTATTACCTACAGGCCAAGACGTGAAATTCGACCCGGACCAGGGCGCGCCGTACCTCCCCTTCATCGACGAGCTCCTCGCATCCGCCTCAGGCAAAGACGCCGACGGAAACCCCCTCCTCACCGTCGCGGACCTATCGCGCTATTCGGCGAAACGCCGTGCCGATGCGCGCGCCACGAACCCCGATTTCGTGCTTGACAAGCAGCATAAGATGTTCGCGAGCTCAAAGTACGTGTGCTTCGATCACCTTCCTTCCTTCTTTCCTTCATTTGAGATCACTAGTCAGTCCGGTAGCTGACTCACGGATTGCAGCTGCGCCACCCTAGCCACCATCTTCGGTGGCCGGGTTGCGGACCTCACGCCGTTCTTGAAGGAGGAGCGGTTCCCGGATGGGTGGGAGTCCCGGGTCCGCTCGCGCATGGGCATGACCTTCCTGACGCTGAACCGCACTGTGTTCAAGCTGGAGCGCGGGATCAAAGAGCAGGATAACACGAATGCATGATTAAACCCACATACGGTGAAGCATTCGTAAAACATTACATAGAGCTGAACAATCGGAAACGTGTAAGCATTGAGTCGGGGACAGGGTGATTAGAAGGAGGATTTAATGGGTACTGAAGGAGGATGGTTCGTGTAAAAATCGTCAGATACAAGCATGACGACCCGACCCCGAATCGAACGGGGTTCTTCTGCGTTTACATTTCAACGTCACCCATATATGTATTGCAGATGCGGGCGTCCGCCATCGGGTCTTTTGGAATGCCCCGCGGGATGCGTGTTGAGTGCGAGCCTGACTTGGGTGAAGAGCGGTGCAGTGCAGGTCCGAGATTCGCACTGAAATGTTAGCATCTACAAAATGCGGAGGAGAGACTTGGAAATTGGATATAGTGGTCCAGGATGGATGTCCCCAACCATGTTGAACACAGTCTGAACCAAAAATAAAATCAGAAACCACCTCTCTCAGCTAAACATTCGCCCCAGTATCACCGGCACCGTGTACTGGCTGTACAGCACCTTCGCGCTCGGCAAAGGCGATGGGGAACTCAGGAGCGTGCGCCAAAGAATATGAGGTCGTGGTCGAATTGGGGGAGGCAAGATTCAGTATGGCTGTATCATAGACAATGAGACAGACTTACGTGTGTCGGAAGCCGCTCCGGATGTTGGACTACACAAAGGATATCAGCGAAGGTCGGCGAGGAAGGGGAGGAGACTTACTTCGAAGTATAACGTACACAAGCGGCGCCTGCAGTGGAGACAATGAGAATAAGGAAGACCAAACACGTGCAGCGACGCACCAAATGCAAGCGCGTTCTCTCTACAGGATGGAGGTGAAACTCGTAAGACACACCAGTCTTCCAGGAAGTCGACGCCGCGCAGCCCTTGCGAGACTGGGAGCAGAACCTGAGGCGCAACATGAAAAAAGCGAGAAACTTACACATTGTATCCTCCATTCGATGTGTAAGCATCCGATGAGTGTAGCGGTTGGTGAGGTTAAGAAGAGCGGAGAAAACACAGAAGGACCCACCGATCATGTGTTCTCGACTCGCACGTCGCGTCAACTGGCAAAAGTAATCGAACCTTGGAGGGTGGGCATGGAAGGCAGGTGCGCAGTGTCTAAGGAGGAGCACGGTATCGAGGGGTGCATAAGGGCGGCGCCAAGGAGGGACGCGGTGTTGAGAAGGGCGGGAGCGTAGCGTCGAGGAAGGCGGAAGGGCGGCATCGAGGGATGCAGGGGGGCACGGCGTCGACGATGCAAAGTATGGTGTTGGCGACGGGAGGGAGAAGTCGAGGAGATGGTGGTGGTACGAGAACAAGAGGCATTTCAAACTCCGATACGCGTTGCGTCATTGACTTGGAAAAAATCTCCGGCAGCCCGAATGCGCTAAAGATCTGGAATCGAAAAATCAAGCACTGAAAAATTACTTGAATTCCGAGGTGAGCAGATAAAATTGATCGATTCCGATTTGGCTTTGACAAAGTGAAATTGGTGAGCACATCATCAGCAGATTAGAACACATAGACCACATTTACGCCGACGTGAGCACATTATTGCAGTTTGCATATTAGTTGGCACAGCCCCGATCAACACTATTTTGACTTGCCAAGGTAAATCAATTGTTTCTCGCTCATTTATGGACCGATTCTCATAAGACCATAGGCTAAATTCAGCGTTTTCTGGTGCGGAATTTACGGTACTAATTTTGCAGGCTCATACTAAGGCTTGAGAATCTTGGTTTCCACGAGCTGTTGCCTCATGCGCGAAAGTATGTGATGGAGAAAAAACTTTTCTGGCCATCATAAAAGATTGAAAGAGTGTAGATACCGTCCAGCTAGCTCCTCCAAAACTTTTGCGGGAATCGGGGCAGGAACGCGTCTACACAACGTGACGAAGTGCTCTGGTTTTGAACCCTGTGAAAATGGTACGATCGGCGTTCAATTTTTCCTCCAATGAAAATGGCAGTAGTGGTGGATCTTAAGTCCTGAATATTTACACATACTATCAGCTAGTGTGCTCCTCAAATTTCAGGCAAATCCGTTGTGGATTAGTTGCGAACTGCGGCAGCAGAAGCCGGATCACTGATCTGATCAATGGCTAAGTTCTAAACACTCCCGGCGAGCTCAGTACTTGTCCAGAACCTCCCAAAATCCAACTGGATATTCCAGGATATATTCTAGCCATTTGAGAGCATTGAGATTTTATGGAGATCCATTGGTTCTCTCGTATAAATTTGGATCATGATTTCACGTATGGTACCAATAGACAATCTGAAATCTGGTTACCTACACATAAATCTGGTGCGAAAAAATGCGGCTTAGGAAACGATGAATTTAGCATCCAATATCTAAGGAATGCCTGCAGTATTGAGCAAGAAACAATGCAAATGCTTTGGCGCATCAAATGTGCCGAAAATTTGCTGATCGGGGCTGTGCCAACTAATATGCAAACTGCAATAAAGCACACGAGATTCTCACTGGGGCTTACCCGTGTGCGTATTTCAAACGGAGGATATTCAGAACCCTCAATACGGTGTGAAAGAGAGATGCTCACCCGGATGCGTGCAAAATGCAGAGCAAAAATTCCGCCAACACGTCAATGCCGTCGGGAGGAATTGAACCTCCGTAGCTCTCGTACATGACATTCTCTTCATAGATAACGAGAGGGGCTTGCCACTGGCCAACGACGGCGTTTCGAGTAGGACTGGGTGTGCGTAGAAGAGTTAGGCCGCACCGCATAAATGTAAACTGCGCACCTACGCGGGGAGCCCAAGAAAAGAGAGGGAGCACAGACTTGGCGAGGGGAACCGAAAGGAGTCGCCGCAACTCGATCGGCAGAGAGATGGCAGGGCCACGGAAAGATTCATACGCATATTAGTACTGTAGATATCTGCGCATCGTTTCCGAATTCGTGTTCGGAAACGCCGAGGGTTTGGGCACTCGAGCGGTGGACTTGAACTCGCAAGGGATGGTGCGTCGGCCACAACGGACTCGGAGAGAGAGAAAGGTACACGCGCGAGTAACTCGTGGGCGTCGTGTAAGTCGGAAGATGTCGTAGCTAGTTGATGCGGAATCGAATGCGCGGAAAAGAACGGGCCGGAGGTGCAGAGAAACAGGTGCTTTGATGGAGTGGCGTTTAGCGGGAAGAGCGCTGCTCGGTCCCGGCCAGGGAGAGTTCGAGCGAGCCAACGGTGGCGTTGGAGCGGTGCGCTACATAGTCGGTGAGATGGGGAATGCTGGGTACGGGATCAGGGCAGCGTTGGTGGATGGATGGGTTGTCTTGCCTGGATGTACCGTGTCCCGGTGAGTAGGAGTGGTAGGCAGGAGGCCGCGGGGGATCTGATGGCTGTGATCGACCAATGAGCTCGCTCGGATCACCCGGCCATCAGTCTCATCTCCAACTCATCTCGGCCACGGCGGTTTGGAATTCTGCCTCGTCGATTCAGTACTTTCCTCGCGTAGTCCTCGTATCTGGGCCCATTCATGGCATCCTCGTTTCAAATCCGCCGCTGGGTATGATTTCGTGGATCGATTTTACGCGGGCTCCAGCCTGGCGTCCTCTCGTTTTCCTCTCTCTCGTTTCATGCCTCTTTGACAACTCCGAATATGCATAGCATAACAGGGGTTCATCTACTGAATCGGAAATCTTTAGTTACTACTCGCAGAGGCGCCGTCCGCCATCAGGTCGATGAATAACTATGTATGTGAGCGGTGATAATACTCGGGTGCGTAGATTAATGTAATGAACAAGCCAAGTCGAGCTGCATATATACTTATTGGTGCAAATGGACTCGCGGTGGATCCGCCGATTCGGGTTACGCGGTTGTACACAAGAAAAATGAGATTCGTGAGGGAGACAGGTCCATTCAGAGAAAATAGTCACATAAAAATAAGTCTGGCCTTTTCCTTATACGACCCGATCCCGAATTGAACGGGTTTCTCCTGCATGTACAGTGACACTGATATCCCGCCACATAAGTATGGCAGATGCGGACCACCGCCATCGTGTCTGTCATGCTATTGAATAATTCGCGGTGGAAATGAGCACTTACGCGTTTTCAGTTGCAAATATCGATATGAGGATGGGGGAGATGGCCGAATGTACGCCCCGAAAGTCGATGATCATGAGGCTTGGAGGCCCGCACAACTCTTCCGAATGCCACAGCCTTGTATCTCCAAATCCGGGTGAGCTTGACCTGCAACTTGAAGGAAGGCAGAGGATCTGCTCGAATGAAAGAAAAACGTGGACTGCTGGAGGAATCCGGGGGGAATCGAACCTCCGTGCTCCTCGGAAAGTTTATAAGACATCGTACAGGACGAGAAGGACCCGCCAGTGGTCAGCGACGGCTTCCTCGGTAAGAATGGGTGCGGGTGGATGACGGGGAGTCAGAAGTAGGAATGTAAGATGATGAACACAGCGAAATGGAAACGACAGGAAATCCGATTACCCACCATTTCCCCCTTGCGACAGCGCACACCTTCAAGCGGGAAAGGCTGTGTTACTCAGAGCCGTTCTCGCATCAGGAACGGGGGAAAAATACCCCACGTCTTGCACATGCCGTAGGGGGAGTCGAACCCCCGTAACTCCCGAAACACCGGTACTCCCGTCTATCGGCTGAGAGGGACCATCCATTGGTCAACGACTTTCCGCATAGGAACGAGTGCGGGTGTACGGGGTGGGAATGCGACCAGGACGCGGTATTTCACTCGAGAGTGGAATCCTGCGGCTCGCATCAAGAGGAGCGGGTGTAAAATTTCTAAGTAAGGAATGGGTAGGGGATGAAGAACGGAAGCTGTCACACGTTCATTCGGTCCATTATTTGCTTTACGGGGACCGAGCAGGATAGGGTACAGTACCATTCACCCGAAAATACTGCGAGTGTAGAGCCTCTTGATGATCCATCCGGGAGCGCGGGTTGGAAGTAGATTTTGCGGACACCCGAGTAGATTTATATTTGGTTGAGGATCGAATGAGGAAGGGCGCAACTTCCTATTGAAATAAGCCTCGAGGGAACGTCACAAGCGAGCCGAGTGAGGAATCTCGTTGTAATCCGGTAGGGTACATGGCAATGAGTACACTACTTTTATACTACTTGTGAGCGCTGCTATGAGTAATATTTATCAGTTCCATCTTGACTTGCACCTGTCCAACGATGCGCCCGACTCCTACTGACTGTAGGTGACCACGGCAGGCAGTGCCGGCGCTGTTCTCCAAGATGCCGAGCTCGGAACAGCTCGCACAGCCACTCCATTTCCAACACTTCCCCGATGAAAAAAACGCACGGATTCGTGGCGGAAGGGTTGCGGAAGGGTCCCGAAGGGGAGCGCCGCGATGACTCTGATCGATTAATCGGATCACACGGTCCGGCCATCAACGCGACGTTTGTCCCGAACTCTTATCTCGTGCGGGCGTCGGTGAGTCTACCTCCTCTGTCGAGTTCTTTCCTCGCTAGTTCTCGGTCCAGGATCTAGAGCTATTGCTTGGACTCCTGCATTGGAATCCGCCCCTCAATGGAACAGCGGGTTTTTCTTCTTGTCGTCATCTCGGACCTCGGTATCCTTTCTTCAGGCTTTCTTTGTTCAAAATCTCGCTAACAGTCCGAAAAAGCCTAGTATTGGCTTCGCTCTCATTATCTGGATTCGAGTCAATCGCACTCTTCAACATAGTTGACAAGTATCAAACCGCTCCTCTCAAAACTTTCTAACCCCATCTCCGGTCTTATCTTCTGCCGCGGTGGTATGTCAGCGCTGCTCTCGACGCGTGGAGGAAAATACAAGATGATATATGACGACTATTTTACAAGGGCGGTAATGTTCCACGATCCTCGGAAATCGGTCCAGGTGCGCCCTTCCCCAAAGCTGGTGTTCACTGATCTTGTCGCCTTTTACCTTCCTGGTTTCGAAGCGACGTTGATACCATTAGATGCATGCGAACCTGAAGCCACCGCGTCTGCAGGGAAAACCATCGCTTGTGAGTGAAATTTGCGATATGTTCTATATCGAGCCTCCTTTACAGCGACCCGATAGCGGCCAGCGGCATCTGCACTGCTTGAGGCTTTCCGCGAGACTGCAACGCAGAAGGCTCCCGTTCGACTCCAGGTCGGGTCATCATGAGTGTTGAGATCCCTTTTTGGACTGCGGGTCTCCAATTCCTCTTCAAAATCTCGCATGGAAATGTCCCGGCTCCCTCCAAGCCTTCGGAATATCCCCCACTGTCATACGTACTCCCGCTTCAGCCAACCTTACCGAGCCCGCAGATCCCGTTCGACTCCGAGGCAGGTCGCGGATTTGTAAGGGAAGCTGCATGCCATTTCGGCCAAACATTTTCTGCACCGACAGTTCCATTTCGAATGGCGTATATACACAAGGTATGTTTTCGCTGACATACTGTGCCTCAACTCATGTAATTCCCTGATGTTACTCGGATCCGATAACGGAGGAGTCATCGTTCGGTTGAAGATAGAACTCTAACGGACACCCCGTTCGACTCAGGCATTGAGAGCCAACATGGAAATTGAAGACAGGATGTATGTAGAGCCTCCTTTTGTCAACATGGAGTTCACAGCGCCGTGGCAAAAGATTGCCAAAGATCGTCGTAAATTGAATCGGCCCCGACGTCTGAAGTTTGAACCACCCGTAATGAAAGTAATGAACGTTGTTGATGTTGAAATCGCGGAAAACTGCGAGCCTCACACCTTCGGACTAACCTGGTCATCAGAAATGAGCTGCTGATTCACCGCCAATCAACAAACTTGACATTCTTATTGAACACCAAAGTAACACGAGATGACCATCCCCTCGATGTATGCCGCATGCAACAGGCCATAGGCTTTGGGAACCCGGCAAACTTGCTGAGGCCCACCACATACCAGAAACACACCAGTATATCTGGTCAAGGAGCGGTCACCGCGCAACACTTTTGAAATGCATCCTCTACCTCATGTCGGCATTATTCTCGCTTATTGATGCCATGGATCTACTCGAGCGCATTCCGAGTCCATCTCGGTCTTGTCGCAGTCAAAAATGGCGCGTTTCGAAGATCCGAGGATTCTTCTCGGGCGATATCGGGCGACCAGCACGAAAGTCTCGGATGCTCCACAAAATAGGAGTGATGACGACAAATTTCTCCCATAACGACACTCACGCAAGACATTGGAAATATCCACCCTACTGGCACAATGTGAGCTCAAACGGGCCCTGTACCCTACCAATACCTGGCGTCAACTACAGCGGCCTTTGCCCTCGGTTACTGGCAGATTTCGTCGTTGTCAATGCTCCTATGATGTCTGACAACAACGATTGTGGCATACCTCACCTTCCTCGGCTTGCAACTCGAATTACATTCGATTCTAGAGTGTTTTTACTAGTCCTGATACGAGCGAGTCTATCGTTACGCTGAGACGTTGTGAAAGACCTCAGTACAGTCCGACAAAGTCTATCTTCTCGACGCGAAAAAGAATGGCAACTTCGAAATTAGCCAGCCCTTTGGGTGTCCAGAGAGCCAAGTCTAGAATGTGTGCTTCCGCTCCACGCATGATGGCAGAGCCGCGATGGTGACTTTGACTTTTCCTCGGAGCAGGCCCCCATATTTCTATATGGTCAAAATACCCATTGGGCTTCAGTCAGTGTCAGCTGGAGATCCGAATAAGAGGTTGCGACCCAACTGATGAGCATTTCTATCAAACTGCTCA